ATGATTGGTGTTTAGCTACGGTATTTAGCGTCGACAGCACCTCCGCTTTTAGGGTTGACGTAGACCCAAGCGTCGCCCGGAGGTCCCCCGGTGTTGTTGAGGGAGCTGCTGCACTAGCTAACGCTGCACTAGCTAACGCTGCATTAGCAAAACAAACGCTAATTTATTTTGCAAAAGGTGCAGCGGGCTTCAAACACGTTCCCCTCCACTGGTTTCAACCAAGCACTAAATTCGATGTTTTCCAACCAAATACGGTTGAACTTACACTTCCCCATATTTATTTGTAAGTAGATTCGAAGATACCTGAGTTTCTGACTGCCGCTAGCTGAAGCTTGGTTGCTAGGTTACTAGCTGGGTGTTCTCCGATAAGGGGCCGGGGGAAACAAAGTTAGTGATTACTAGTTCCATGTTGATTTATTTCAATACAAATTGTTGGGGGGAACTGAAAGGCTATTACCGTACTGGTTACTTTGCAGCCCGGACATTTCCCCCAAAACACATTTAGACGCGATCGCAACACAGAAGTACCTTTCAAATCCGATCATTTTTAAGACCTTCTAAATCATATTTAAGACCTTTCTTATTTTTTTGGTCATATTTAAAGACCTTTTTAAGGCCTTAAATTCAGATTATCAAATGTAAGACTTTTTAAGACCCCGCGGGAACCCTGCTTGCATTTCCCCATAACGATGTTGTTTAACAACCGGCGTAAACGGACCTTCGAGCGCTATCAAGCAGTGAGCGTGNCTCCATTTTGATTTATTTAAAGCCATCCATCAGCTTTTTTTCATTCGACTTAAAAGACAGCAGATCAAAGCAAAGCGCCAATCTCATAATTGTTCAGATATTTATCAATCCATACTCCAAGCCTTTAACAAGTCTATATATTATTCATACTAATGACAAGGGATGGTCCGATCGATCACCGATCGATCACCGATCGTTATCGGCCGATCGGTACTCTCTATAAAGGCTGATCAAGTGACGTAAAATACATGACACTTTTCTCTGTGCGCGGCAAAAAAAGCTCGCCAAAATGGCTTCAACGGTCTGGCAGTATTTGAAGGTGTCCGAAAAAGACCGTAAAATAGCGTTATGCAACGTGTGGGAAGCAGAAATCCTGCAGCTCCGCCCGCTGTGACGGACCGGAGCAAAACACACTAAGAGTTAGACCTAACACACTTAGCTATTTTATCTACCTCTGGAACAAGCTACACTAGTTATAAATATGTTTAGGTAGATAAAATAGCTAAGTGTGTTAGGTCTAACTCTTAGTGTGTTTTGCTCCGGTCCGTCACAGNATTTCCATAATTCGGCATAATTGTTCTGGAAATATCAGATTACCATAGCGAGTTCAGCCTGTGTAACACATTGATGTCTGAATCAGGCATTGGCTATTCTCCTTGTGGTTCTAACATATTCAGTCAAACACACATTTAAACACTATGGCAAAAATAAATTAAACTAACCACTTCAATGTTCAAGTTATACAGGGTGTCAAATGGTGTGATGGTGTGATAAATCAATTTAGCGAAAATGAAGGCTATTAAAAAGTATTAAAGGGCATTTTCCAAGGTATTAAATGTTGTAGCTAGTTTCAATAAGTATATCAATTGTCCAAAGAGGTTGTATTCTACAGTCTGCCTGAATGTAATCATTGCGTAGGTGTGTAGTGTGATTCTGTGTAGTTTATTTATGGCATCCCGTTGGATTTGACGTCATCTGAACAGGACATCGCACGCTCACTGCTTGATAGCGCGCGAAGGTCCGTTTACGCCGGTTGTTAAACAACATCGTTATGGGGAAATGCAAGTCTGCGTCCAAATGGTTGGAAGATACAGAGGAAGGACAATCAATACTGTATATAGTCAATGTATGGTAAAGTGTGTCGCCAAGGTAACCGGTTAAAACTCCAAGTGGCGATGAGTTCTTAAAATGTATGGAAAGGGTCTTAAAAGAGGTCCTACATGTGACTTCAGGATTCCTGCATATACCCTGTTATAATATATGCCTCAACATAGCATGATGGGAGATCTTTAAAGGAATTCAAGTTACAATCTTTTATAATAAAGTATTTTTAGTCAAAATGTTCAAATAATGAAGTAATGGGACATAACGCAAATCCTCCCTGTTCGCTTTGTGACTCTGCAGGGATGTCACCTTCCTGAAGGACTGTGTGGGAGCCGAGGTGGAGGCGGCCTGCGCTGACCCCGCCACCGGCTCAGTCATCCTGCTGGAGAACCTCCGCTTCCACGTGGCCGAGGAGGGGAAGGGCAAGGACGCCGCCGGAAACAAAGTGAGGCAGCATCCAGACACGGGGCACTTGTTTATCTATCAAGCCACTAGATGCCTTAAACAGACAAAAGAGGCCTTTACAATATTCAAAACAAATAGGCAAAACTCAAATAAAATAACAAACAACTTTGGTATTCTTTCTTGATGAGGTTTATAGAACTTAATAACTTAAAGGGTAATCAAACGGTTAAAAACTGTTCCTCGGCGGCGTCTTTCTGCCCATCACTGTCACTTTAGAGCAGGGGCCGTGGGTCTTTTTATAGTGTGTTGACTACAGACGTCACAATTAGGTGGCCTTTCTTATCAAACAAAATAGTGGCTCTAACATATCGGTATTTCGATCTCTCTGTCTGTGCACACAAACTGAAAGAATGGCAATAAAGTTGACTGAGGCACACATTCCCTCACTGGTCAAACCCAATAGCGCTGTGTGTGGTATCTTTACAAAAATATTATTTCCTTTCCGCTGTACAAAATAAATATAATTTCATACATAACATGGAAATTTAAAAAATGTATGTCAGTTGGATGGTTTTTGGTGCTTTATCTTTGTGCTGTGCTGGGTCACCTGAAGGAACCGCACAGTCACTCCAGCTGCAGTGTCCCTCTGAAAAGCTGAGTCATCGTCTGATGATGTCATAGCCAGGAGTGGTGCAGGGACTGGTGGGGGTGGCTGTTTCTGAAAAACATCTAATTTGTTAATAACTGCAGTGCACAACGTTTATTAAGGTTTTACAGCGCACACTTGTAAAGAAAGGGAGTGCAGTGGACTTTTAAAGTGAAATGAATCGCCCAGCCCTATTTGATATGAAACTACAGAACCAGGCTCAGGACTGTCCTCACACATTTGAATGATGTTAGTCTGCCTCGTCGGATCAGCAGTTTGACCTCCTGACATTTCCCCTGAAGGTCAGTGGGGCTGCTTGTGTTGCTTTTCCTGTCCTGAGGCCTGTCTGGCATTTGGGACGGTTCCTACTGCACCGCTGTAATATCAGACTCGATTTGTAGCTCAATATACAGACCTTTCTCTGGGGCTGAAGTGATCTCAAAGGCTATAATGTGCAACAAATACAAGCTGGGTGTCGTTTGTAACTGAGCTTCGGAGGGAAAAGTTAAAACAGTCGTTTGTATTAACTGTATAGTCTGAAGGAGGAACTGTAGCGTTCAGCACTCTGACATTTGAACGACACTGAGGAGCTCTGGTGACCTTATTTCTGCCCTCTTCTCACACTCACGACCTTCAACTGTTAAGTGCAGCAGGAACCTGATCCACAATGACTGACTCTCACAGACACACACAGCCAGTCAACAATGTTTTGAATGGAAATATTGTTTTTATTTGATGTTGTAAAGCGGAACACAATGCTAAATGAAATGTCTTTTTATGGCGCCTTGCTAGTCTTTGTCTCCCATTATCATTGTTTACCATTACTTATCAAGTAGTAACATGTCCCCCGTGAAACATAAACAGAGCAACTGCCTCTTAAAAAATGATACATTCCCCTAGAAAATAAACTGAGTTTGCTCCTGGATTATTCTTCAGTGTCTGTGGGGTCTTAAAAAGTATTCAAAGTTGATAAATCAATTTAGCGAAAATGAAGGCTATTAAAAAGTATTAAACGGCATTTTCCAAGGTATTAAATGTTGTAGCTTGTTTTCAATAAGTATATAAATTGTCCAAAGAGGTTNTCTAGGTGAGTGGAGGTTGAGCCGGGACCGACAGCAACCACGCCCACACAAACAGGGGGAAACAAACAAACACAAAGGAGACGGCTGGAGCAGTACAGCCACCACAGCGTTACCTAAATGCAACTACACACTACGTCTACGGTGCCGTGTACCGGAGGGGAGAGAGAGAGCAGCGAAGGGGGAGAGAGAGCAGCGAAGGGGGGGGGAAGAGATGTAATACGGTTTCTTGATAAAGCTGTG